TATATATCATCTACCCAGTAACAAGACTCTCCTTGCTATTTTCCACTAAAATGGCATTGAAGCCAACCTGGATAACCCAGCATAACTATTGTCCTCATCTCAATGTCCTTAACTTAATGCATCCAGGAACTCATTTTAACCATAGGTAGTCATCATGGGTTCCACAGGTCCACTTGTGGACTTCCACAGTGCTTCAGGCTACCACAGTCACTGAGCTGGGAGGAAGCGCTGGAACACAGTACTCTGCTTGAGTGCTGTTCAGGGTCATTCACACTTGCTTCTGCAATTCCTGTCACTAGTTTCAGGACAGCAAAGTCTACCTTGCTGTGCTGATAAAGTAAACCTGTTACTTTGGTAAAATAACGACAATGGGCTAGAGGAAGTCAGACATCACAAAAACAGGACAACGTCTCTCTTCTCTTCCTGTCTGCCTGAAAGTAGGGCATGAACTTCCTACTTGAAAGTTTCTACACCAGGAAAGCAAGAGTAACTCTTTAACGTCACTTCTGACTCCATGAAGAATCTGAAGAAACAATCCCTGCTCAACTACATGCTGTTTCTCATTAATTTCCCTCAAAGACTTTCTTGTCTCTTCCCTAAAACCGCATCTCACTTTAAGGATCAAAACTCTCCCTTCTTTGCTCCTGAGGGTTTATGCTCCTCAGCCAATTGTGTGAGCTTCACTTTTTTTCTTATAAATTTCCATGAACATATTAATGAAGTTATATGGCTTCCTTATCTTGCTTGTTTAGTTTACAGGTCCTACATCTATGAAGGAACACGAGACTTTTTCTTTCCTTACCAACACTGATATTACACTAGGTGTTATCTGGGACAAGTGTCAGCTTGTCTGAGGAAGACATAAACATTCCATCACTGAATCCTCAGCTATTCCAAACTCTCTGCTTCTTGAAACATATTTGATGCAAATAAGCTTCAAGGACACAAATCAGATGGAATAGTAGTCTCTAGAGACTGGCAGGGAGCTTTGAAAGAAGTGATGTCAAGTCCATTTCAAGCCTTCCTTGGAACAGCAACAGCACTTCAGAATTCCTACTGCGGAAAAGAAAAGGAGTGTAAACACAAAGGAAACACAACAAAAAATGAAATAATTAGTGTTTTCTTGTGAAAAGAACACATAGCTCTGTCTTGTATGTATGTCAATACCAAATGTTGAAATTTTACGAAGCCCTAATATATATTTCAGGACAAGGAAAGGAGGGGTAAAATGTACTTTTTTTCTGTTCTATTCAAATCACTGATTCTACTGGAGTCCATGTTCCATACCAAATAGCGATTTTTTACCCTCCTCCGGCCAGTTCATTCTATATTCTAACCTAATAGCAGCAGAAAGTTAATGTGAAAAGGCTATGTTTCCTCATGAGACTACATATATTGGATTCATCAGGTTATTGCTTGCTTTAGACCATCTCCTGGAGCAGAAGCTTCTAGGGGCCTTTCAGGAATACAAATTCACTGCTCCCAGAATGCCAGGACAACCTGGTTTACTGGGGGCAATTTTAGTTTTACAACTCATTTGTCATTTTCCACAGTCCCTTTGAATCTGGGCATGCAGAGATGGGAACCTGAAACTCAATTTTAACATTCTCTTTGGGTGACTTGTGTTTACGAAATGTGAGAGTCAATTCCTCCTTCTTTTGATCTACTGACTGCACAGAGACTGGGCCCCATGGGGTATGATGGACACCAATGTTCTTCAATGTACCACTTTCTGTCTTCTGTGTACCTCTTGGAGGAGACAAATTAAAATCATTTTCGAGGATTAGAAGAGCATGCTTTCAAACTTGTACTTCTCGTTGTCTTCATTGACACACAAATGAGACCACCCATTGTTTATTTATAAAACACTTTACTATGCTTGTACTACACAAGGTACTGTCCTTGGTGGCCAACAAAATGCTAATCAATTTGATTCTCATAGAAAACCTATTTCCCCCGTTTTACAAGTGGGGGAGACAACAGTGTGGACAGTACATTAGTTAAAAGTCATTTAGCTAGTTATTAATTGAGCCAATATTGAAACCCAGGCAGTCTGACATCAAAGTTAGTATGATCTTAGCAGAGCTACTGTGTCATCTGTGGAATCTTAGTCTTTCAATCTCACTCCTCATTTATATTACAAAGTGTTTGGAGTTGGGACTTAAATCGGTAAGTCCAACACCAGAAGCCTTTTCTTCCTGATAGGCTCCAATACGTTTCCATTATTTGCCTACAGCAAAAATGCCTCAGATGCTTATCTAGATTTTTAGTTTAGTCAATCTGACATGCTTTACAGAGAATGATCTACAGCAGCCAGACATTCACTTTTGAATGAGTTATTTTTATTAAGTATACAGTAAGTCAAGCTAAAAGAATAAACGGCAAATAGGTAGATAATAGATAGACAAATAGATGATACTAGATAGATAGATAGATCGATCGATCGATAGATAGATAGATAGATAGATAGATAGATAGATAGATAGATAGATAGATAACAAACACCATCAAATTAGACAGTCAAAATGCTCAACAAAAATCAACTGGGGAAGCCCTTTTAAGGCAAATAAAAGAACAGCAACAGAGAGACAGACAGACAGAGAGAGAGAGAGAGAGAGAGAGAGAGAGAGAGAGAGAGAGAGAGAGAGAGAGAGAGATGGTAGCGTCAAGCTGGATGCTCTCATCGTCCAGCAGAATCCACCTGGGGAACTTGGGGCTGTAGACTGGAGTTCCCAGTTGAACTTTCTCCCTATGAATGAACTTCTCACCGCTGAGATTCGCATTTTTGAACTTCTACCCTCCTTTCCTACCGTAGGTTTTCACCCACCTACCCCCGTAGGATAAATAATTCTAACCAGTGATAGAAATAACTCGCCTTTCAGCTGTTCTCAAGGGCAAAATGATATTAGTCTTGGTCTGTTATTCTGTTTTATTTCCCTTCTCACAGAGTTAGAAGGGGCAACACATCCCAGGAAAAGGGCATTGAGGAACACATTGAGTCAAACGTGCTGAGGTCTGAGATGGAGAGAGAGCAGCCCTGCTTCCAGAGTTGGCTTCTCCATGAGGGTGAGTTCTAATAAAATATGGCAATTTACTAACATGATGCTTATTATAGTCCTCTAGATTAATGCTAGACTGTAAGAAATATGGAGATTAGTAGAGGGGGAGAGAGAGACTTGTAGATAAATTCGATGCATAAACACATTGGTGTTTTATAAATATTTCATATGTGGGCGACTAAATCCCACTTGAACCACTAAAGCACACCAACTGACCCACACTAAAAATTTAGGAAATAAAATGAGAGAAAGGGGGCTATATTAAATGCAACTCTCAGAAGATATTCACAACCCTGTTATGTCCTTTCTGACTTAAAACTACTTCTGATTATCTTCTACTTTTACAAATTAAGAAAAATTTTACTAATTGCCCAATTTATAATATCTGATGAAAGAAAGAACATAACTTCCACAAATGAATTATGTTTGACTCTTCTAGAGTGATGTTGTCACTGTTTGGTCCAATTAGCATAGCTGAAAGGGGGACATAGAGTCTGAGACACAGAAAGGCCTGGCTTGTGTCCTCTCTACCTATACAATTAATGAACAGGATCTAGAAGCAGAGAACTTGGAATGTAATAAGATAGGGAAAAGAAGAAAACCAATCAACCAAACCAGTTACTTCTGCAAGGCATCTCTGTATCACCCCATATTTGAAAAGGAAAGAGGGTTGTTCTGTCTCTCTGTGCATGTACCTATGTATATATCTATCTTCCTAACTATTTATTTAGCAGCAGTCATTTATCTGTGAGCCATTAAATACATATATCATTATCTCTATATTCATATGAGTGTCTAGGTCTATTCAGCATATATCTATTTCCTCTGTGTCTATTTCTCATATCTATCTCCACATCTGTTTATTAAGAGAGGGCTAGTAACAGAAATGAATGTGAATTCTTGTTTTTTTTTCATCTCATAAAACAAGGATATTTTTAGGTTGATTGTTCATACTTCTCCAGATAGGATTGGAGCCAAAGAGAAGTGGCCAGGAAGGAACAAGCTAAACATCTCTGTAGGAAGTGAAGCAAAATCAGAAATGGGTAAAATGCTTTTCAAACTGACCTCGCACCTCACTGCTTGGCGCATACCATCGCATGCCTGTTTCTAACATTTCCCTGTGTGTTGCCCATTCAGGTAAATGAAGCTGAGAGAAACAAAGGCATGCCTTTTTAGCTGTCAAGTGAAGCAGAGCTGGGTGGGGGTGGCTGATTAACAGGGAGAGCTGTGCCTGGAAACAGGACCATGGTGTGAGTTTGCCCAAGTACAGGCTCATGTTGAAGGAAAAAAAAATGTAATTGCTAACCCTTCCATGACCAGCATATGTAGTTAAGAAATTTGGGTGAAAAAAAAGAGGGGGGTGGTGGGAAAAATTCCCATCAAACAAGGCTGTGGAAAAGGGAACAGAACAGACCAGGGGACAGATACAAAGAGTTGCTACTTGCCAAGTAAGCTCATGCTGGGTTGTGTTGACCTCCATTGCTGGGGGACAGGGGACTATGACTGGGGTGGGGGGTGTAAGCCCTTTCTATTGGTCCCTTCAGAAGGGCTGCTGGAAGTCTGCAAGGTCTTTGCCTTAAACTTGAGCAGAAACCACCATAAGTGAAGCCCTTTGGAATTAGTGTGAAGACTGAATGTGTCACAATTCAGTTAATGACACACTTTCTCTGACTAACACTAAAACAAGATACTTCCCACTTTAATGAGCCTGCTTGTTATCAGGAGATCTTACTGAGTTCTTAATGGGACCTGAGATTCTACATTTTTAATGAGCTCCACAGAGATGTTGCATTGGTTCATACCCTAAACACACTTGAAAGGCAAGGTTCTAAATGTTTTCTGAAGGTCAGTGAGTTTCATAGCTAATTTTAGGACCATATCCTCAACTCATAAATGCCACACCAAAATAAACATATCCCAGTCATCAATATGGTTGGATAGTATACATTTATTTCATATTGACATTTGATTGTGGCTTAGAAAAGGCTTTTCAACAGTTAGAAAGATGGCTGTCAAGTAGCGTTACACAAAATCAGGCTCCTTCACTAGGTGCATTATTTCCTGTTGCTGTGATAAAGTGATCGAACAAAGCACTTCAAGGGTGAAATTGTTGTGGCTCACAGTTCAAGTACAGTTTGTCAGCATAGGGAAGGCACAGCAGCCGGTGCTTCAGTAGGCTGGTCACACTGAGTCAGCATCCAGGAGTTAGGTTATGATGAATGCTTGTGCTCAGTAGATTTCTCCTGTTCTTGCAGTCCAGAGAACGGTGCCATCTTCTCAGGTTGGACTGTCTGTAGGGAGAGATCTACTTACCCGGAGCACTGACCACGCCCATCTGGGTGTGGTCACAGGTACTTAAGTAGAACAGAGGATAAAGAGCTAGGGGGAGGAGACTCTCTCTCTTAGATTCCAGTTGCAGCCTGGAGAGCAGTGTGCACAGACCTTTGGTTCTCGACTTTGACTTTCTTGGCTTCTCACGTGAGTGATTTCTCCCTCAATAATATATATCAGGACATTAACTCTCTGTGTCATTGAAAGCCCTAACACCTGGAACACACGCTAAATTATTTGTTCTAAAATCCAGCCTGGGCACTGTTAACTTATTTCCAGGTCAGCCCAGAATGAGAATCACAGGAAACACACAGCCTTTGCCAACACCTTTGCTCCAAGCTGCCGTAGTGAATTGTTCATTAGAGTGAGTTTTTCCACGGATTTATTTTGAGCTGACAAAAATCAAAGAAGGAAGCACAAATGACAAGATCACTGTTTGTTACCTTTGCCCCCGTCTGCATGCAGGTGACAACGGGGGTGGGGTGGCTTCCTTCTCACTGTTCTTGTGTGGTTGTGGTGGTGATGTGAATGCTTAGATGTTCCCGATGGAAAAGAATTGTTACTCTGGACCAGTTGATTCCGAGTTGATTGTGAGCAAAAAAGAAATGAAAATCACGGTTTCCCAATGTAAGAACTCTGTTCCCAGTGGGCTCAAACATTTTTCTAATAAATACAAGAAAATTTTAATAACTTGAACATGGGATGGCAAAGGTGGCTTGGGACAGTAAGCATCACTTTTTCCAAACTTCCCTTCTGTGCTGACTGTCACATACCACCATCTCTAACAACTCAATTCTGGTGCACAGTGACAGGCAACTTGAAGAAAACTCATTGGGGTTTTGCATGTGGAATTAAGTATTCAGAGTAACAAGGTGTTGCTCTGTTTACCGCAAGAATCTGTATGACATATTCAGCTCTGAGAAAGACCCATAAAGTAGCACAATAGGACAATGAACAATGCTGAGTCTAAGACATGGGTAATGCATGTAGGTTATAAGCCCGATAAGGATAGAGGACTTCTCCAGTTCTGAGAACTACATAATTAAATGCCTTTTAGCCATGGATTAATAACCATAAGTAAGAGTAGGCAACAGTCCATAATATAGGTAAATAGTGAAGGCACAGATGAAATAGATCTACAGCCAGATTTGTCTATCTAAAGCCTTGGACAGTACAGCAACTATGAGCATCTCTGAGTGCTTAAAATGTAGCTTTCTCTATTGACAGTCAAACTAGAAGTGTAAAACCCATGCTATATTGCAAGGCAAAGATACAAAATAAATTAAAATGTGTGCGATGTTAACAGGTTAGAATCATGATTTTGATTTACTGAGTTAAATACTCTATATTATTAAAACTCATGCCACTAGTTTTCTTTGTCTTTTTAAAAAAATGTGATTACTGAAAAACATTCTTACATAAAGGTAATGGAGATTCATAATTCATTTTTATTTTACTCTATGTCTCAACAAAAGGTGTTGTTATATAGCTCAAGCTGCCCTGGATCTTACTGTGATAATCCTCCTGCACTGGCTTCCTCAATGCTGGGATTACAGCCATGAAACACCATACCTGGCTGTGTCTGTCTGTACAAATGCATGTTCATGTTCATGTGTGTGGGTGTGTGCACATGCATATGCAGATACTCACTGCTGTGTACATGGATGCTTGAAAAGAGACCATATACTTCAGAAATAGGATTATATGCACTTGGGACATGCCTGGATTATTATGTGTCTGCTGGAATAAAAACTCTAGTTTTCATTTATTTTAGATCTTGTGATGGTAATTAGTGAGTCATCTATCCAACCCCCCCCCACCTTATTTTTAAGACAATATGTCTCTCTCAACCTGGACCTCAATGGTTTGGCTAGACAAGTTTGGCAACAGTTCCCAGAGTTCTTTCAATCTCTGATGCCCCACTACCAAGTTTACAAGCACATCACTCGATACAACTTTTACATGGGCATGAAGGATGGAGCCCATGCCCTAGCCCTTGTATGGAAACCCATGATCAAAGCATCTTATAAAAGAGCATTTAATTTGGGTCTTACACTCCATAGATTGAATCCATGACCACCATGACAGGAAGCATGGCAGTAGGCAGTCACACATGGCACTGGAGCAGTAGCTGAGAGCTTACATCTGATCCATAAGCAAGAAACAGAGACAGAGAAAAGAGTTAACTGGGGATGCTACAGGCTTTGGAAACTTCAAAATCCACTCCCAGTGGCACACCTCCTCCACAACCACACCTCTTAGTGTTTCCCAAACAATTTCATGAGATGGGCACCAAATATTCAAATATATGAACCTGAGGAGGCCGTCTCATTCAAACCACCACATGGTGCTCCGCCATTAGCCATGTGGCATATTAGAGGCGCATGCAGATGAGGTAATAAAAGGGCGGTTTACTGCACCGCTAACCACACCCACTTTAGGCATGACTAAAGACATATACGGACATAGGTGGTGAACTACGTCACCAGCCAGGCCCACTTTGGGCATGGCTAGGGGCGTGTACTGAGGAAGGAATAAAAGACTGATCAGCAGATCATCTCGCTCTCTTTCCGGCTTCCAGTTCAGCTGTGGATAAATACTCGGCTCATCTGGATTGCTTGTTTGTCTCTTGTGAGTAATTTCTACAATAAATACGTACTTATACTTTCAGTAAGTGTGCCGTTTGTCATTGCAGCATCATGGACTAACTGCATTTTGTATTTCAAAATGAAAATGAGAATTTTAGAATCAGGGGTAGAATTTTACGTCTGAAAGCAATGTGTCTGGGTGTCAAGCTGACAAGTAGTGGAGCTATGGTGGCTAAGCTTCATTGTCCAGTTCACTGGGTTGTCACCGTGGAAACATGCTTCTAGGCCTGTCTGTGTAGTTACTGATAGAAAAGATTAGTTGATGGAGGAAGACACATGTGACTCTAGGCAGCAGCATCCCATGTCTAGACAGCCATACTGAATAAAAAGGAGGAGGAGCCAGGGCAAAGATCTTTCTGCTGCCTGACTCTGGATACAATGTGATTGACTGACTCTAGTTCCTGTTTCTAGGATTTCTCTGCTATAATGTGCTGTATCCTAAAACCATGAGCAGAAATACACCCTTCCTTCCTTAAGGTGTTTTTGTGAAGTATTTTGTACCAGTAATAACATGACTGGATAGTGTACATGAGAGAGAGGGAGGTCTGTGTCCCCTTTGGGGGTTCATAGTCTTGCTAATAAAAGCATTTAAGGATGGAATTTTTAAATATGTTTTAAAAAGAACAACAACTAAGACAACAAAACAGAAAATCAGAGCAGGCAAGCTCTACACTTCAGCACCCGCCTAGAGGAGGAGCATGAAGGAAAGAGAAAACAGCTGTGTCATTTACTCTGGTCTGGAGGTGACACATGGCAGACAAACAGCTAAGTGAAAGAAAGGGGGGCTTTAGAACAGGAAGGAAGCAAAAAACATGGAGGAAAAAACCAATATGTCAATGAAAACATACATAGAAAAGAGACAGACAAACAGGAAAACAAGTAGGCTTTTCTGAAATATTCAGAAAAATGAATACTTAAGATACTTATGTAGCTGTGACCCATAAGCTTCTGAACTGGGGATGGGTTTCTGAGAAAGAAAAGTACAGCATCTCTTTAAAGAATGAATTATTTCACATATTTAGCATGGTTTAAGGGGTGCCCAACTTGCTAGGAGTGATCCTTACCAAACTGATTGAACTTGTCCAACTGGAATACTGAGTCTCTACCCAGGCCAGAGATTCCATTTTCTTGACCAGGAGTGTTTCTACTTCCAATGAACATATTATATTTTCTCAGCACTTATCTACCTACATATTTTTTATCTCCTCTACCATATTTTTTTTCAGATCTGTCTTTTCTTCTCTAATGGCTTCAGAATATAAGTTTTAGTTACAAAAGAAAAAGCACAGAACCTTAATTAGGTTTTTTGAAATACAATTTTTTTTTGAAATAATTAAAAATCTCAACACAGTTCAGGAATGCCATTAGCATACAGGAGGGTTCACCAATTTGATTAGCGGCATTTTTGCAAGTTAAACCAATGAGTCCTTTCCCTAATTAACAGTAGTTTCAACTTTAAAACCAATATACTGATCATCAAAATGTAACATTCATAAATATATAAGGTAACTAAAAACACTTAGTTAAAATGAAAAGTTTATAGGTAAAAGTACTATTAGCATTAGCATGGAGCACTCTAGGGCCTTGCTTGCCATTCTGAGAGACTGAAGAAATCCTTAGCAAGGGCTGGCCTGGCAGGTGGCAAAGTACTTTTATGGCCATTAGTGTGTACACAAGCATGAGAGAGGTAGAGGAGAGGGAGAGGGAGAGGGAGAGAAAGGGGCAGAGAGATGAGGAGAAAGAGGGGAAGAGGAAGTGTAGACGGATGTTTCTGTCCCACCAGATGTTTAGTCCCAAATAAACACACAGGGTTTTATATTAACTATAAACTGTTTGACTCATGGTTCAGCCTTCTTATTCGCTAGCTCTATCTTAGTTATTAACCATTTCTATTAATCTATGTATCTCTACGTGGTCTTGGCTTGCTGGAATCCATGCCAATGCAAGTATCTATTTCTAATGAGGAGTACCACCACCAGCAGCAGCAGCAACAGCAGCAGCAGCACAAGATGAAGACACACACAGGACCACAATGATACATTCCAAAAGTTAACAAGGAAATAGCTGTAGTCAAAGTAAGGGATTCGTTTATTGTTAAAGTTTAAAGTTTCCAGGTTGGATGGCATGGATTTTTTGGTTGGATGAAGCATGAAAAACCTGAAGAACAAACTCCAGAGCCAGCATTTGCAAAGCGAGTCAAAAGAGTTAATAACACTTTCTTTAAGATAAGATCTGGAGTTTCTCAACAGGCTTTGCTTCAAAGAAGAAAAATGTAAGTGAAGAAAACACAAAAAAAAAATCATCTGTAAGCCTTTGCTAGAACCATTGTTAGAATTTCCAGTTTAGCCTTCAAAGATATAGACAGAAATGGAATGGTGAATTGAAGATGTATTGAACTCCACCAGTATCCAATCAGTGTCTGAAATGTCTACATAAACAAATCCTTGCTAGTTCAAGTTATTTAACACTTACTCCCCATCTTTTGCCCAAAGTATATAAATATTTCCTTCTCCTACTCAAGACCTCCATAACAGCTGTGCCATACACCCTCAATGTCTTATTTTATGCTAATGGACACCTATCTTACATGAATATGAATTAAAGTCTTATCTCACAAGTAACAGAAAATATGTAATTGCTTGCACAAGTGCAGAGCGTTAAAACTATAGGTTTAACAGCCTATAGAGTAAACCCAGCATATATCAGCAGGGCACTATCCTTCTTAGATATTACATACTTTCAGTGACTGCTTTGACCGAGGCTGTTGTTCAGATATCAGGCATGCATCAATAAATGCTCAAGACCTTGTCCTGCTGAGATTATGTTTACTAGGGAATGGGGAGAGAGGACAATAAATGCCAAATGCTGGTCTTCCCAAAAACATTTTAATGGAAACATTATTCAGTTGGATGTAAAAAATCTTGATTTAATGCAAACATACTAGAAAACATTTTAAAGATCTTACTTCTGGCAGGCATGGGGGCATTGCACAGTCCTTTTCTTTCTTTTGAAAGTGCTTTTAAGATATTTTTAGGAATGAAAACTTTATGCAAAGGAATGACATTTCCAGCTGGGTCAGTGAGGCTGTCTCACCCTGTGTAACTGTAGCAAGTGACTTTGATTTAGCACATGGCCTATGTAATGATCACTATGACTCTGAAAGCAGCTGTTTAAAAATCATGCCAAACCCTAAGGGTCAGTCAGACATTCAGAAACAGCAGGCAAAGGAGTGTGTGGGAGGCACAGGTGGGGGAGGCATGACAAGATCTCAAACAAGCATCAGCTGACTTATTGATTGATGATTGATTGATTGATTGATTGATTGAAATAAAAGGGTGTTTGTTCCTTTCACAGAATTAGTTTTGTAGTATTCTGTTCCCCATCACCTCTACTTCTCCCTTCTTCAAATTGCATGTGAAGGAAGAAAGTTAGCATCGATTCATTTATAAAATATTCTTTCTAAACCTAAGGAGAGTCCATGGCCCACACTCTCACTTGTGCCCCGATGGGAGGAAATCAGAATGTGCTGTAGGAATGGATCTTGACTTGAAGGTGGCTTTTGTGTGCAAGAGCTTCTGGGTTCTCTCACCATTCTTTTCCCTGTGCTGCTCTGTACTCTGTCTAAATAGGACTGGTCCTGGTGAGACACCATCTAGTGTTGTCTCAGGTAGGAAAAAAAACCCAAAAACAGAAATACAAAGTAATTTTAAATTAAGATGGATATTCCCAGAAACTGGGGAACCTGCTCTTACATTAGTCTAGCCAGAGCCCAGAAAGGGTCTACCACAAACGCTCTCTGGTCACATGTATTTGTCGAATCTACAAAGTTAAGAAACATTAACTATCATCTCTTAAGTCCTTACTTTGTACTCTAAGTCCACTCAGTCACACTCCCCCTTGTGACTGGTAATATTGGAATAGCGAGGGATAATTTTTGCCATTCATCTGCAAAGTCAATTTGGAATACATTTATTTTAGGTTAGTGGGAGATACATTTCTTTGATTGACAATTACATAATTTAGTTAAATGATTGGTAAGGAACCCAGAAAAAGAATGGCTTCTGAGACTATGTCTACCAATGACTGTGCTGATGCCTTTAGCCTTTACTTGTGAACTCCAGAGCCGGAAGTAAGGAGATATTAGGATGCCTCCAAACACCCATTGGAAATAGAAGGTGGGATTCAGAGGGAAATAACACTTCACGGTGTGCAGGCACAGCAGGGAGTCTGAAGACAGGGTTAATTATTTCACATCAAGCAGGAGAATTGTGAAGTGTCAGATTTGCTTGTCATTGGCATCTATTTAAGAGAGAAGCTGTCACTCACCAGGGTGGGCTGTTTTGTTTGTCTGTAGAAAAGTAAAACTAGGATTTTTGAGAATGTCCATTTTCTATCTCACAAATCTGTAGAATCCTAGAAAAAGCAAGATATCTATGTAAAATTGTCTTGTTCCTCCTGGGTTTTGAATTGTGATTTAGAACTTCCAGATGTTTCT